TGATATCTAAGGCTTCACCCAGCCTTGGCTCAGTCAACACTGAGGTCTGAGGTAGCAGCACCAATAATCTTGGTGACTGAGGAAATTAAATAGTGCCACTAAAACCAGGTCTGTCCCAAGTGGAATTAAAATCATCCCAGGCTCACAGCAGCCTTAACGTCAATAGAACTCCACAACAGCCTATTTAAACTGACACCACTGTCCACCCTAAGAGCATCCAACCAAGATCCAACTCCTGGTTAAGCCCTGCTCAGAGGCCCCCTGGGCCATACCTACACACTCTGATCAGATACCAGCCAAAAACATACTCCAGGGATACTCCTGCAGGCAACCCATAGCACTACTGAGTATAGGGAGTGTGTGTGTGTGTGTGTGTGTGTGTGTGTGTGTGTGTGAACATGAGGTGAGAGTTCATAAGGCTTCTGCTCAAAAGCAAGTATCTCACATTGATCTGTGAATAATATATATTGTATATTTCAAAAGTGGTCAAAGAATTTAACACTCTTATAACAACAAAAGGTAAGGTAATAAATACATCCATTGATTAGCTTAACCAAATCTTTCCACAATAGATCAAAATATCACACTGTAATTGGTAAATACACAATCATTATTTGCCAACTAAAAATAAACTGAAACACTAAAAACAGCTGCCACCTCACATCTTCCTCAGGATAGTGCATTTATAGCACATTTTTTAAAAATTAAAGAGCAACTATTTCTGGGTCCCTTCATTCACCAGATAAAGGTCTTCAGTGGTGGTATATGACCTGCCTGTGTAGCCAGCAGACACTGAGTTCCAGTTCCACTCTGTGATGAAGAAAAGAAGCATCGTGGCTATTGCCCCTTTCCCTTCTATATGCTATGTTGATTCTTGGCCTTGGTTAGGTCAACACATGGGTCTGAGTCAGCCAAGGTGCTGCATTTCTAATGGGTCCCAACAATCAGCTGAGATGCTAGGACTCTGGTGATCCACCACAGTAGAATATAAGGTAGGCAAAGATTTTCTTAAAGTATCAGGATTTAGAAAACCAAATGAGTATTCACAATCACTACATCAAATTGTGTGTACTTGCCACTGAGCACTATTTTGGAATTCCTCTTTTGGAACTAATTTCAAAAGTGATATCTTTGTCCATTCATTTAGCAAGCACATATTGAAGCATCACTGTGGAGGGTCCTGTTCTAGGCATGGGGATACAGCTATGGGCAACACAGTGCTCCTGCCCCTGGAGCCTAACCCAGGTGGGGAAGCCCCACAGGAAGCAGCTACCTATTGCCAGGAAGTGAAAGTGGAAAGACACTGGGCATATGGTGGGCACAGTTTAGATCGACAGCCAAGGAGAAGCTCTTGAGTAGGTGATCCTGGAACCTAGGCCAAGAGCAAGCCAGAGGTGGCACATGGGACTGAGAAATTAGTTTCCCAGAGGGGTGCATGTTACACAGGTCCTGTTGGTCATGGGGAAGTTAGTGTGGCTGGAGCACAAAGCAGGGTCAGACCCCAGGGTCCTGGGGACCCAGAAAGGCCTCAGGTCTGCTCTGTTGTGGACAGGAAGCACTGAGCATCTGAGGGCAGCCTCTGAGAAATCCTGGTGTGGGACTGCCATTCTCTAATGCAGATTTGGGTCTGAGGAAGAGTTAAAGTCATTATTGGCCGGGAAGAAGGAAATAGGTAATTTTCACATTCTTTGTGTGGTAGGACTCCAACAAGCTGGGAAAGAAATTTCCATACTAGTTCCTCAAATGCTCTGAATGTTTGTCATGTTTTCATAGCTCAACATGCACTACCCCTACTGAAGTTCTGGAGCCTTTTGGCCCCTCTACTGTCACTGTACACAGCTCAGATTATGATTATCCCTGGCAACTGAAGTCAGGGGTCAGATGCTTTTCTTCTCTGTCCTGACATAGCGAGGCAGGCACAGAATCTGGGTTTGACTGCTGGACATTATTTCCTGGCACTTAAATTCCTGAATGAGTAATCCCGTGGTGTGGAGACTAGAGGAGCTCATGGGCAACACAGGGCCAGTGATGTGCATACTGTCTGGGTACAAGGCCCTTGGATTCTAGGGTATGTACCCAACCTCATTTTCTATCCCTCTACTGATTCCAGAATTCATATGATAGATAAATGTCCTTTCCATGTAGGATAGCCAGTGTTAATTTTTATTGCTTGCTCTCTAAAAACAGATATGATATAATAACATAATTGCTTTTTCCTCTCTATTACCTAAAAATAGATGAATGCAAGTTTGCCTGTTTTATTTTGCAAAACAAAAAAAGGCCATTTGCTCCATCAATACCTTATAGGCCATCGCTTCTCCGCCTTTTGGCTAAGATCAAGTGTAATTAATACCTTACAGGCCAAGGGACAACACTGCCAGGCACTGTCCTAGGTGCTGAACAAACAGATCTTACCATCCAGTAGGTGGGATGGAAGAAAAAATGAAAGAATCAAGAGCAGCAGACTATAGGAAGTGAAATGGAGATAATTTCACACGTCTGTATGAAAACTGAAAACAAGGAAGAAATAGGAAGAGCACTCAGAGATTAGTTTAGCTGCAGTGAAGGCCAAAAAGTCAAGGTCAAAGGTGAGGCTGAGCTTGGCACATTTAAGAGGAAGGAGGCCAATGTAGCTCATAGTAAAGAATGGGGGAATGGTAGGAAAAGAGCTTGGATAGGCAAGGGTGAAAGTTTACATTTTGCTTTAGCAAAGTGATGCAAAGGCACAGGAGGGTTTTGAACAATCACTGACATAATTTGATATGCATTTCAAAAATATCCTTTGTAATAAGCTTGAGAGAGAATAGATTATAGAGGCAGAGCAAAGCTAAGTGCCCAGCAGGAGGCTACTACTGTCACTATGGTGGTCTGGGTTGACATAGGGCAGGATATGGAGGAAAATGTGAAATTTAGGATAACTGCTTTCTGAAATTATGAGTGAAATGGATGTATGGAAAAAGAAAATCAATCTAATGCCTAGATGTCTGGCTTGACTGCATGGATGCTGTATCTCACCCTGGAAAAAGTGAAGGAAAGGGAGGTGTACGTTAGCCATGTTACCAAAGTACAAGATGCCTTCTAAGCATGCAAGTGAAGCAGTCAGTATGTGTATGGGTGTGGATTCCAAGGTTTATTCATGTTTAGTGTCATACAGATGGCATTCAAAGATGGGCCTGGACAGTATCACCAGGGAGACTGATTAGACAGAAAGGCACAGAAATTAGCAAGACCATGAGAAGTGCCCACTGAGGCATGAGCGAAGTGTATAGGGCCTTCAGCCAGCCATGTTTCATAAGCCACCTTCCCCAACACTTCTCACCCCACCCTTTTTCTACTGAAGCTGAATCTGCAAATCTCCTAGGAGTTTCTCTACTGAAATAAGGGCCACAGAAACAAACAGGTCTTCCTCAGTGATACTGTTGTAACTATAAGTGATGCTTAGAGCCACAGCAGCTTCCTTATGACCATGATGGTAGCCTGTAAGGTCAAGTGTCAAATTGAAGTCCAAATAGCAGAAAGATGTCACTATGCTACTGAACTCACCAATCCTGAAGATGCCCCATTTGATGACTTCTGTGGAATTACAAGGCACTTTCCTATTCTGTAAGTCAGCTGAAATAGGGTTGCCTGTTATTTGTATCCAAGAATATCTGGATGTATAGGTGGATTGAGGAACAGATTTGAGCATACATTTTGGACAATGGGAAAGTAAATATACTACGGAAATATGGTAGGATTGCTGGGTAAAATTACACATTTTAAATACACTATTGTGAAGTAAGTTAACATAATTATCTTTTTATCTCCCTAGCAATTTCTAGCTATTTGGGGGCAGGTAGAGTAGGCAGATAAACTGGGACTTGGCTAGAGAAGTAAAAATGGGAGGGGCAGCCAAGTAATAGCAAAAGTTGACATCTACTGGACAGATATTATGTAACAAGTATTAGATAAACTAGTTTGCTTCAGGAATATTAACTTGCTTAATCTTTACAGTTTCCCTATGAGCTTGGTGGGAAGGAAGCTCAGGTCCTTGGTAAGGAAGTGATCATCACAAAAGACAGAGATCTAAGCAGCATTGGAGGAAAGAGGAGGGAGATGACTGACAACGGCAATGCATTTGGACCTGATGACCCAGTAAAGTCTAGGGAGAACCAGAAGGTTAGGGTACTTCAGTGCAAGAGGTGGAAATTCTAGATTCAGAATGGGGCAGTTATGCATGACATCAAGCTCAAAGGGTTACTGGGCTGAAATGGGAAGCAGGAAAAGAGCCTTGCAGATGCAATCACAGATTGCTTAAATTCAGTTCTGTGGATTGCATAAAATAATGTACAGAAAGGCTTAATCACAATTTCTAGAATAAAGTTTCTATATTTTAAAGCCTACTGACTACAAAAAATGTGAACATTGGGAGCTCATCTAAAAGGGCAAACCAATTTTTCCAAAAATCAATGAAATAGTTGGAGCCAGGTGCGATGGCACACCTGTACAATCTCAGCACTCTGGGATGTTAACATGAGAGGGCTGTAAGTTTGAGCCTGGCCTGGGCAACTTAGCAATTTAATGAAACTCTGTCTCAAAATCTTTAAAAAAAGAAAAATGCTAAAATGTAGCTCAGTGCAAAGGCCTGGGTTCAATCCCCAGTACTAAATAAACAAAAAGGAAATGCACCATTAAGTTATTATGTAATGATCTACGATGATTCCTCCATAATATTTAGCATTTTGAACATCAAATGCCCAATTACTTAATGAATTCATTAGGGAGCACATGTGTGTGCAGAAAACAAACCTATCAGGTAAGAATTACTTATACCTATATGGCTCTAAACAAGATAATGTAATGAAAAAATTAAATTACATCATGTTAAAGATAAATGACGAATGCCAACAATGCTTAGCAAAACAAAGAATTTTAAAAGTGTTTACTTAACAAATGAAAATAGGATGGAAGGAGCCAGCTGGTCTCTGGTGATAGGGTAAAGTCAAGTTAAGCTAGGGAAAGGTGAACAGAACTGTAATTATCCTAAAACAGTTCACCAAAACAAATTCTCTTTGGCATTCAAGGAAATAGCCTGAACAACAATCTGAAGTCACAAAGTAACATGAAAACACTCTAAATGGGACGAAAGGTTTATTTGGCTTACAGTTCGTAGACATTTCAGTCCACAGTTGTCTCCAAGGCAGAGTAGCATGCACCAGACAGGAAAAGCAACAAGGGACCACCACAGATCTTTCTATCCCTTACAGCTTATCGAGGCTACCTAAGGCAGGTGGTACTCACACTCTTAATCCTAGTGCCCCGGAGCCTAGCATTGCTCCATGAATCAATCCCAGCATGACACACTCCAGATTCAGCCACCTCTGAAAAGCCCAACCTATGACCCCGTGAGGCTTTGGGGGACATCTAAACACAGGCCATAATATTCTGCCCCTGGCCCCCAAAGACTCACGCACATCTCTTTATTCAAAAGGCATTTAGTCCATCTCTAAGAGTTGCCAAAGTCCTAACAGTTTCAGCACTGCTGAAAAGACCAAGTCCAAGGTCTCTTCTGAGATTGAAGGCAAACTCTTAGCTACAAGACAGACCCTGAACACATGAAAAGGAAGTTAGACACTGCCAACATTCAATGGCACAAGACAGACATTTCTATTCCAAAAGTTACAAACGGGGGATACAAAGGAATGGGACCAAAGCAAGTCCAAAATCCAGCAGGGCAAACAAATCCCATAGTTCCACTTCCAGCATCCATGGCAATCTGGGGCAAGGTGTGAACTTCAAAGGGCTTGGGTGGCTCCGCCTCTATAGCACTCCTTGTGGTTGTAGCTCCCATGGCTTCTCTCATTGGCCGGCTCTGCTCCCTCTTTGCAGTTTTCCAGAGATCATCCATATTCCTGGATTCTCCAAACTTCTGGGGTCTCCACTACACCTCTGACTTCACACTCACAGCTGCACTCTCAGGGGCACACTGCCTGGCCTTCCAGGCCTTCTTCTGAAATCTGAGTGGAAGCCTTCTTGTCCCCACAACTCCGGCATTCCGCATGTTCCTAAAACTAGCACGTTATGGATGATGCCAGTAGTCTACTGCCGGTTGGAGCAGTAGCCAGACTTCTGTCTCTCTTGGCTGTAGGGGTGGTGTGCCTGGATCACTGAGCACTCTGAACCCAATTCAAAGGAACAAATTCTCTAGGCCGATGCCACTATGGAACATAGTGTTCTGGGGCTGTCTTTTCAAGGCAGTCTTTCACTTTTGCAATTTTGAGGCTGCAAAGGGTGGAGTCCTGCTGCTCCTTGTGAAGATCTCAGGCCATCTTTTCTATTCTCCTGTTCCTTTCTCAGCAACCAAGATTTCTGCTCCATTTCTGCAGGCTAAAACTTCACTCGAGCTTCTTTTCTGGCCAAACTCAAAACATTTTAAATCATTCTGCTGGGCTCTTTGCTCTGGATTCTCAACATAAATCTGGCTAAAAGCCCCCAACAGTTGCCATGCCACCACCTCAAAATTAGACTGTCTTGAGATTTCTTCTGCCAGATTAATTAGTCCAACACCCTTAATCTCAGTCTCAGGCAAAGTATCTGGACATGAGCAAAATGCAGACAAACTTTCTGCCAAGCCATAGCACACATCATCTGGAGTCCAACAGTCAATACAGTCTTTCTTTCCAGCAGAAACCTCCTGAGCTTGGTCTTTACTGGCATTTCTATCAGTTTTCTGGTATTCTAAGCTCTGACCAGAATCTGCCATCAAGTTCAGCCTAAGGTGCTCCAACTGTACTTTTTAAAAAGGTGTCTCCGAACCTTTCCAAACTCTTCCCAAAAGCCAGTCCCAAAGGTTTCTGAACCACATGGTTAGATATACTCACAGCAAGGACCTCAATTCTCTAGTACCAAATTCTGTTAGTTACTTTTCTCTTACTGCTGAGACAAAATACCTGACATGCAAAAGTTAAGGGAGGAAAGGGTTTTTTTTGGCTTACTGTAGAGGTTTCAGGTCACAGTTGGCTGGCTCCAAGGCAGAGGGGCATGCAGCAGACAGGAAAAGCAACAAGGGACCACCACAGATCTTTCTATCCCTTTTATCTTACCGAGGCTACCTAAGGTGGGTAGCACTCCGACTCTTAATCCTAGTGCCTTTGTGCCTAGCATTGCTAATAATAGTTATTACTGCTCTCATCAATCCCAGCGTCACACACTCTAGATCCAGCCATCTCTGAAAAGCCCCACCTATGACCCAATGAGGCTTTGGGGAGACATCTAAACACAAGCCAGGACAACCCATCTTAGGCAAGTGAGAATTTACTTGCAAATGGCTCTGAACTCCCTCTGACAAGCTTCAGGCAGTGTCTGGTAATTTCTAATGATCTGATATCACAAAATGCTCCAGTTCATTTTGTGTATTTTCTCCCTAAACCCCAGTTTGTTTTGGTGGAAGTATATTTTAAAATGTACACTTTTTGCTCATATAGTGATCAAGTTCACTTATACTAGCCACAGTTTCATATGCATGCTCTGAATATTCTTGTAAAGATTTTATACTGAGTTTCAAGGCTTCTCTTTCCCAACAAAAGCTGAGCATCAAGAACGAGCATTACTGAATGAGCACAGGAAGCCAGTTTCTCAGTAATCAGCATTTCGCTATGTGATGTTACCCCATTTTCAACCTTTTTACTGCCCATTTTACTAAATCCAGCCTCATTAACATGTAACATGCTGTACATTTTTACTTCTTTGATTTAACCACTTTCTTGAAACCTAGAAATTAAAAAACAAAATGTTGGGACCAGTTTCCTCAAGGCTGCACAATGATCATAAACTGCTACTCCATGAAGTCAGAAGCCAGGTTTCCTCAGTGAATTTCCTTTGCTATCCTCACAATGCATCTTCTGTCTTCCAGATTAACTCATGGTCCAAGAAGGTTGCTTAAACTTTGCCATTATGTCTATAAACCGAGGAGCAGGAGGAAAGAAAAGGGTAAGGGTCAGGACGTGTTCCATTTTCAGATACTAATTAAGTAAGTACTGGATAATAACTTCTGCTTGCATCTAAACTGGCTAGAACTTGATCACATGTAGTTGCAGGAGACTAGTAAATGTAGTTTCCTCAGTGAGTGCATGGCTCTATTACTCAGGGCTCTTAGTAATGGGCTCTATTACTAAGGAAACATGAAAATGGGGAGGCAGTTAGTAGTTATTACTGCTCTAAGTGGCAAAACTGATTCAATCATGTAACAAATGTTTTCACACATGAAAGTTATTTGGATAGACTAAAAAGATAATTGAAATGTACCATACTTACTTATAATTTTTTCATGACATCTACTATTTTGAGGAGGCATGAAAAATATTTTTTCCTAGATAACTGTCTCCTGAGATTATACTAAGATTTACTTTTAAGTAGTGACCTCTTACAGGAGAAGCTTACATGTAGGAAGCTTTTGCAAGAGAAGACAAGAAAAAAAAATCTTAAAAATCCAATCCGAGTTCAAACCCCGGTACCAAAAAAAGAAAAAAAAAAAAAAACCCCAACGATGTGACAACTTTCAGAGTTCCACATGCAGAAAAGCAATAAATGGTAGTTTGGGGTTCTCAGTCTATCACTGCAATGTCAGGCAGCAGAGACTCCCTGGGGAAGATGAGTTGTGACACAAAGAGCTATACCGGCCATCAAAGCAACCCATGCCTCCATCTTTCTGGGTTCACAGGGCCTCAGAGGTGACTACTAAACAATCTATCTGATCCAGGCCAAGGCCAACACCCCAAAGAAGAAGTATGCCTGGAAGAGTCAGTCACTTCAGAAATAATGGATGGCCCAGCAGAGTGAGTTTAAATCAGATGCCATTTGGGAAGGGGTTGACTATCTAGGATTGAGCCACAGAACACCTATAATACGGCTTCACTCCAGGACTGAAATGTTACCCTACCACAGAGACTGAGTTAGAGACAGCCACGGGAGACAGCCGTGGAGACAATAAGGGCTAGACATAGATCCCTTTAGAAGTTCAAACTCATGCCAGGACGGACATGGGGCCTACATTGTAGGAGACCAGGTTCTGCAGGTGTGGCTTTAAAAGGTGATGGCACTGAGTCCAGTGGTCTGCTCAAGCCCTGGTCTACTGCCTACATCCAGCACAGACCAGTGGTCTGATTGCTCCCCTGTGTACCAACATGCGCAGGAACGTGTCTCAGCTTGGACAGTTGCCATGGTCTGGGGTTAACAGATGGAGGGACCTCTCAAGCACGATCACTCCACAAACCTAAAGGCTGAAAAGTAGGGCAGAGAGGAATGTGACTCAGATTCCAAAGACTGCAGGTCTCGGAAGGACACCATCCATTTCAAAATATGGAAGAAATATCTGACCCATTGTTTTTCTTCTCTACTGGGTGTTTTACTGGGGGGGTGGTATTTGGAGATTTATCTATTTTGTTTTTCTCCTTTTTTATTATTATCTTTGTTTGATTTGGACCATTTTTATCTTCTTTTCTTGTTCTTTCTCTTTTGATTTTTTCCTTTAATATATTTTCTTTTATTCCTTAAGTTTATTCTATTTTTTTTTCTTATTTCTCCATTTCCTTGTTGGCTTCTTCTGTTACTTTTGTCTAATAATGCTAATTTCCTTTTACTCTTTAATAGGCTCCTTTATTTCATTCTTATCACCTTCTTCTCATCTTCCATTGTTTAACTTTTCATATTCTTTTCCATGCTTCCACTCCATGCAACCTCTGCCTTACTAGTATAACCATGAAGCTGTATGAAACTATAGATAAATAGGTAACTATATCTTACTATGACTATGGTTGAACACTACTGTATTGTTAAGGGAGGTAAAGTTGTCCCATTGAGTAGATATTTATTATAGGTCGGTATCTGGTTTGTCTTAGTCGTTATACTATAATCACAGATTTCTTTTCTATGGTTAAGGGTGGCACATTATTGATTCTTAGGGTCAATATCCAGTTTGTATTTGATGCTGTTGTTGTTGCTGATTTTACTACTAAAGCCACAGTGACACAGTTGTTGCTCTCAATTGGTTTTCTCTGTATGCCAATATCTGGATTGTCTGGGAGTCATATCCAATACTGTGGCTCATTTCTGAAGGACTCCGTACTAAGCCAAATAAACTACAACCTCCCCTCCCAAATAAATAGAAATGACTGTATCCTGGGACAGAGGCAAGGGCCAGTAGATAGCCAAGCCCAGAGGGTATCTCTGCAAAGTAGACATTAAGTAAAGAGGTCTCCATCCATACTAGCAATAAAGATACCCAAAGACCCCCACAAGCGTCATCCCAGACAACAAACAAACAGAAATGTGAGAAAACAAAGCAATACATTGCCTCCCCAAAACCCCTAACTCCTCCAAAGCCAATCCAAGGGACATCTAGCAGGAGGAAATCAAAACCAAACATACGAAATATCTGAAAGCATAACACTGGAGGTAACAAAACAGATAAATAAGGTGCTTGGTGAATTCAAACTAGATAAAATTAAACAGATAATGATTCTAATGAAACAAAGGATCAGTGAATCCACAGAAGACACTTACAAAAAAATTAGCAGAGGGTGGGGGATTTAGCTCAGTGGTTTTGTCACCTGCTGCGCAAGCGCAAGGACCCGAGTTCAATCCTCGGTACCAAAAAAAAAAAAATTAGCAGAGCTAAAGAAAGAAATACAAAATATAAATGCTCAGAAAAGAATTGGAATCTATAAAAAAGTTCCAAATAGAAATCTAAGAGATTAAAAAATTCTAGTATGGGCAGCAGAAGTGAGCAATGTGAAGGCAGTGTCAGAACTAGAAGACAGGGCCATGGAAGGTGATCAATTAATGAGAGGTGCCTTAAAAACAATAAGAGAACATAAAAAATGGATCCAGCAGTTGTTAGAAGACGTAAGGAACACTAACCTAAGATTAACTGAAAGTAGTGGAAAATAAGAAGACAGCACAAAGGGCATGAAAAACCTGTTTATACAGAAGTAATAGCAGAAAACTTTCCAAACATGGAAAAAGAATTTAACATACAGATTAGTGAGGCACACAGAATCCGAAATAGTCATTGTAACACAAGAACCACTTCAAGACACATCATTGTCAAAATACATATCAAAAATCCAAAAGACGAACAGAATCTTAAAAGCTGTTAGAGAAAAGCAACAAATCACTTATAAAGAAACACATCAGAATCACAGCACACTCCTCAACACAAATGTTTCAAGCTCTAAAAGAAAAAACCTTCCAGCCAGGCTACTATATCTTGCAAAATTATCTTCCAAAATTGATGGGGAGAAATAAGATATTTCCATGATAAAGAGAATCTAAAGAAATTCATGACCACCAAAGCAGCACTCCAAAAAAATTCTCAAGGATATTCTAGAATGAGACAATAAAGCTAACAATGCCAAAAGGTCCAATAAAATGAATCTAACAGGTAGAATGAGTAGTTAAGTAGAAGGGAGAGAAAGAGAAGTAACAGTAGGAAAGTAATACAATGATGGGAAGTCAATACAGAATGCAATAAATCATTGAAAAGATCACACTCCATCAACATGACCAAGTAGGCTTCATCCTAGGGACATAAAGATGGTTCAACATATGAAAATCAATAAATATAATCCATCACATAAACAGGACCAAGGACAAAAATCACATAATCAGTAGGTGTAGAAAAAGCCTCTGACAAAATTCAACATCTACTCTTGAGTAAAACCCTAAAGAAATTAGGTATAAAAGGACCTTATCTTAATACTATAAAAGCCATTTATGACAAACCTACTGCCAACACCATAGTAAATGGGGAAAAAATGAAAGATTTCCCTCTAAAACCAGGAACAAGACAAGGATATTCCAGAAGAGATACAGAATAACAATGTAATCCTGGATAACTACCACCACTCCTTTTCAACACAGTCCTTGAAAAATTAACCAGAGCAATCAGGTAAGAGAAAGAAATAAAAGGATACATACAGGAAAGGAAAAAGTTAAAGAATCATTATTTGCAGATGATATAATCTACTTACAAGACCCAAAAATTTCTATCAAAAGACTTCAAGAGTTAACCAAATTTGGCAATTTAGCAGGATAAAAGATCAATATACAAAAATCAATAGTGTCCCTATACACTAACAATGAACTTGCTAAGAAAATAGGAAAACAATACCATTCACAATAGCATCAAGAAAAATCCAATACTTAGGAATTAATCTAACCAAGGAGGGAAAATAGCTCTACAATGAAAATTATATCACTTTGAAAAAGGAGATCAAAGAAGATATCAGGAAATGGAAAGATATCCTATGTTCCTGGATAGGCAGAACCAATATGGTCAAAATGGCTATATTTTCAAAACTGATAAATAGATTTAACACAATCTAAATCAAAATACCAACAGCATTCCTCATAGGTCTAGAGAAAAGAATCCTAAAATTCATATGAAACCAGAAGAGATGCAGAATAGAAAAAGCAATCCTGTATAAAAAATGCAAAATAGGAGGCATCTCAATCCCAGACTTGAAGTTATATTACAAAGCTACAGTGATAAAACCACCATGGTAATGGCACCAAAACAAACATGTGGATCAATGGAACAGAATACTGTAGAAAAAGCAGAAACAACCCCAGACAATTCAGTTATTTAATCTTTAACAAAGGGGCCAGAAACATACACTGGAGGAAAAATTGCCTTTTTAAAATAAATGGTGCTAGGGAAATTGGAAATCTGAATGTAGAAGATCGAGTCTAGACCCACACTTCTTACCATGTACCGTGGTATCTTGATTCACAACTGCTATTGTTTGTGAACAATTTGGTTCGCAAATAGGATTTGGCTAAAGTTTGTTTTGGTTTGCAAATTCTACATCAGCTGATGAACACAAACATGGCCATCTTTCCCTTATGAACACAAATGTGGCCATTTTTTCCAGAATAGTGGAACAAATTAAGTTCATG